TCTCCCTCTCCCTCTCCCTCTCCCTCTCCCTCTCTTTCTGTGGCTGTCTCAGTCCACCCTGGGATAGGGGCTGATATGGCCTGTGGTGCTGGGTCCCTGTCAAATCTCCATCCCTGCACATACCTAAGCTTGCCTAAAGCACTTTAGTCTGCTGAACAATCTCGCCAGCCCCGTATGGTTTTATAGTGAACTTATTTTTGTAAGTAGGAGTATATTCCACAGCAACAATGAGTGGACTAGTGTAAGGACATAAGCCAACTGTAGAGGCATGAAGTGCCATAGGCCAGCATGAAGTGTGGTACACTTGTGTGTGCTGCTGTAAACGTGGTACACTTGTGTAATGCTCTTGTAAACAAGCCTACACTAATGTGTGCCTGGCAGCAGTGTAGGCTTGTTTACAACAGCATGACCACAAACCTTTGAGCAGTGTGCTACACTGTCACACGTGTTGGTGGCCCTGGTTCTAGGCCGCAGGCATTTCCCTCCTGAAGACCGCTGTCATATGTGTGTTCTGCTGTGTTTCCTATCTGGAGACAAAAAGCTGTGTCTCTCGTCCACTGCCCGCAGAGCGCACTGAGAAGGTTCCAGTCGGAGGTCCGCCGCTTGGGACACTCTTCACCCAGAGATCCGCCAGGCTGACTGTGCCTTTTATTCAGGCCTCTGCCCACAGGCCAGCTTAGGGGAGCAGCCCCAAGGTGCCCTTGAAAGTAGCACCACCCTCCCACGTGCCAGTCCTCGGGCTCTGTGGTTTCCTAGCTTCCCTCTTCCCTGTGCTTCTCACACCTGACGGAGGATAGGTGCACTCGGTCGTCTCTGTCCTCCTGAGTGACAGCAAAGACGTTGCTCTGTTCTTTGCAGAGTCTCCCGTGCACATGTCAGCGCCCGGTGTGAGGCGTGTGATGGTTGCCTGACAGATGTTTGGTGAATGAGTAACCAGGGACTGGCTCAAGTGTTTCTGCCAGCTCAGCACACGAGTCACCCAAGCATTTGTTGAATGTGTGACCGTCCTTCACGGTGTGCATTCTGGGCAACCAACATTTTTCTAAAACTTCTGGGACCCAGACCAGACTGTGCTGCCCGACGATACTCACTGGAGTGGCTGTGCACCTTCCTCCTCTCAGACACAGTGCAGTAGAAGAGGAAAGAGTGGGGTTGGAGCACAGACCCAGACCAACCCAAGACCATTCCCCATGTGGCCTTTCCATGGAAGTGCCTGGAAAGTCACCTCCAGGCCGCTTGCCTTGGGCACAGCCAGACCCTCTGGCAGGAGAACCTCACTGTCTGTTCTCCAGTGTTTCAAACCAACTTGGTTGGCCAAGAAGACCTCAAGCTCTGCTCTTCTGTCTTCTGGGCCAGCCTTTTGTCTCCCTCTCCCTGCAGACCCGCCCACCCTGGGAAGGCCCCAGAGCCCCCTAACTGGTCCCTCTGACCAGTCCCTGCACCTCTGCTGCGGTACAAAGATGAGGAGACTCTCAGCATCCCGTCCTTAAATAGCTCACCCTCAGTGAAGCCTTGGAGATATCGCTCCCATGACCTCTGTAAAACCTGCCACCACCTCCTGCTCCTCACAGTGCCTTTGTCCTCTCCTCCTCCTATGCACCATGCACATAATCATTCATAGTACAGTGATTTTGCGATTTGCTTTCATTTCTTTCTAAATTATACACTCCATGGGGAAGATAACTTTTGTCAGAATGCTCCCAAAGTCTAGCATAATGCCTTAGGCCCTGCGGGCATTCTAGAGAGACAGGTTCAGCTAGTGCACAAGCAGTCAGGCTGCTGCCATGCACTTCTGTGTTCTAAGGGTGCAGCATGAGCCAGCCCGGCCGGAAGGAGGCGTCCCTGGTGGTCTGGCCTGGCCAATGGGCCGCTCTTTCCAAGAGGCTTCTTGTGTGCTGCCGACCAACCCCAGTTCCCGGGGTACGTGCCAGACCTTACACAGCGATGGCAAACCTTTCAGAGCTGAGTGCCCGAGCTGCAGCCCCAAACCCACTTATTCATGGCAGAGAGCCAGTGCTGCAATTAACCCTGATTACTGAGGTTTTGGTATCTAAGAAAACAACTCAACCATAAATGTCTTTGATCTTCAAAGAAAAACACAATAACACACATGCCATAGGCGCTGGCTTCAGAGCAACACTACAGTTGAGGGTTAAGATTGTATTATCTGGGGCCGGAGAGATGGCCCAGTAGGATAAGCGCTTGACTAGCAAATGCAAGGATCTGAGTTCAATCCCCGGTTCTGGAAAAAAAAAAAAAAAAAAAAATTGTGTTATCTCTGCTAAATATAAACCCAGATTTGCTCTTTCCTCTTTTCACCAGGCCTCCTTCTCTTTAGACTGAAGGTGATTTTTTTCAGTCCCTACAGTACTTTGTGCGTGGCCTTGGGAATTTGCAGCATTCTACTAGGGCAGCAGGGGTCTCTTCTGTCTAGAGTGTTCTTGAACTTAAAAATGTGTGCTTTCTTTCTTTTTTAAATTTTATTTATTTATGTATTTATTTGGTACAGGGACTTGCTAGACAATGATCCTCCTGTCTCAGCCTCCCCAGCTCTGAGATCACAGACGTGTGCCACCACGTCTGGTTTTAGGTCCAGTACACTGTGTGGTTCTGGGGATCAAACCCGGGTCCTTGCACTTGCCAGGCAGGCGCTCAGACCGCAGAGCTATCTCCTCAGCCCAAATGTGTGTTTTCTAATTCTTTTCAACATTTTTAAAATGCTGGGGAAATTGTGTACTGATGCTCCTTGACTTTAGATGGACTTTCACCCCTGCTGAACCCCTCATCAGGTGGTGATATCCTAAGTAGAAGATGTTTGTATGGCTGGACATAGCACTAGTTCTGCATGCTCGGAGGCTGAGGCAGGAGGATCACTTGGACCCCGCTCAAGACCAGTCTGTGGAACGTTAGTGAGGCCCCAACTTTTAAAAAGTATCTTTGCTACGCTTAAGCCCCAAACACCCTCGGTTACCAACATGGCACACCTCTGTCTACCTGGGACCATGTGGCTGGCGGGGAGCTTCAACCCGCTGCCACTGCCACCTTCAGCCAAGCGTCATAGCTTATACGGCTAGAGGGAAGGACGGAAACGTAAAGTGCAGTTTCTAAGACTGCATATTGCGTTTGCACAGCCAAGCGGCCATAAATTCAAGATTGCTAGAATATGCCTGAGCTCCACGGAGCCTTTGCTGTCATGCTCCTGTACGTGTGTCTGGGATCACATCACCGCTTGCCTACGGCGATCTGTTTGTCAGTTAGATGTGTCTTGAGGGAAACTAGACTAACGAATTTTGCCCACCCACAGTCTGCTAGGTAGAAAATTTCTTTTTTTGCACAAGGGCTGCGGGGGTGGGGAGGGAGATGCACGGGGAACCTGGGAGGGGCTGTGTGGCAGAGCTGAGGAATGAGCTGTCTCTGTTCCCTCTGGGACCTCACCCACTTCTGGCAGGTGGAAGGACTTCCAGGACTTGGTGTCACAGCGAAGGGAGGCAGTAGACTCAGCCCTCCGGGTGAACAACTACTGCGTGGACTGCGAGGAGACCAGCAAGTGGATAGAGGACAAGACGGACGTTGTGGAGGCTATAAAGAACCTGGGTCAGGACCTGGCAGGCATCATTACCATCCAGAGGAAGTTGTCAGGGTTGGAGCGTGATGTCGCAGCCATCCAGGACCGAGTGGGGGCCCTGAAGCGTGAGTCAGAGCAGCTGATGGAGTCCCACCCGGAGCAGAAGGATGACATTGGCCAGCGGTATGCAGATGTTGAGAAGCGGTGGGAAACCCTGCAGGATGCCCTGAAGGACCAGGAGGCCTCCCTCGGTGAGGCCAGCAAGCTGCAGGCCTTCCTGCAGAATCTGGACGAGTTCCAGGCCTGGCTGTCCATGGCGCAGAAGGCTGTGGCCTCTGAGGACATGCCTGAGTCGCTCCCAGAGGCCGAGCAGCTCCTGCAGCAGCATGCAGCTCTCAAGGATGAGATGGACAGTCACCAGGAACGCTACCAGCAGATCCGGGCCTCTGGGGAGCAGGTGATCGAGCAGTTCCTACAGCAGCATGCAGCCATCAGGCAGGAGATGGACAGTCCCCAGGAGGGCGACGAGCCACCCGAGGCCTCTGGGCAGGAGGCGACCGAAGCCCACAAGTATCCGGAGTATCAGCTCCTGGGCCAGCGGCTGGAGGGCCTGGGCACTGGCTGGGATGCCTTGTGCCGGATGTGGGAGAGTCGTGGCCACTCTCTCCATCAGTGCCGCGGCTTCCAGGAGTTCCAGAAAGATGCCAAGCAGGCTGAAGCCATCCTCAGCAACCAGGTAGAGAGCGTCATGTAGGGATGGGACCAGGGGCTCCTGAGGCATCCGCCCAGGTGACCAGTCTGTTAGTGAGCTACCGGTTCTGGGAACAAGGTGGGCTTGGGCTCTTTGTAGTCACTCAAGGGGAAAATGACTTCTTTGTCCTCATTGTGTGATGTCTCATGGGGTAAGTCAGAGACTAGAGGAATAACAGTTGCCCTGGCAAACTGCTTTTCCATTTAGCTTTAGATCCACTGTTCACCAGGTAGCCTGTGGTGGTGGTGGGGGCCGGGCCAGGGGAGTAGAGCCTCCTCCGTGTACAACTCTAGGCGACACAATTCACACTCTGGCTCTGCAGATGCCCTAAGCCTCTTTAACTTGTCTGCATGCCTTGTCTGTAAACTTCCTTCAACAGGAATACACTCTGGCTCATGTGGAGACTCCAGACTCCCTGGCTGCTGCAGAGGCTGGGATCCGGAAGTTTGAGGATTTCTTGATGTCTATGGAGAGCAACAAGGATAAGGTCTTGAGTCCTGTGGACTCTGGAAACAAATTGGTGGCTGAGGGGAACCTGTACTCGGACAAGATCAAGGAGAAGGTGCAGCTGATAGAAGACAGGTACTCTCTGCTCTCAGGGCCCCTGGAGCCGCACATCGTGTGGGGGCTGGGGTGGGGGCTGGACACAGTTGTGACCGGCGCTGGCTTCCTTGCAGGCACCAGAAGAACAACGAGAAGGCCCAAGAAGCCTCGGTCGTCCTGAAAGACAACCTGGAGCTGCAGCACTTCCTCCAGAGCTGCCAGGAGGTGAGGTGGGCAGGGCTGCTCTCCAGAGCAAAGTGCTGGGGGTTGGGGGGCAGCTCACGCGGACCCTCTCACCCGAGCGGTAGGATTTTATGGGCAGGCTACTCAGTCCTTTGCGTCATCCTTGAAATCTTCACTTCTGAGGTTATTTTGCCCTCTTCAAACCTGCAAAGTCACCCTTCGATTTTCCAAGTCAAGGACCGGGTTTCCCAAAGAGTTAGCTGAAAACCGTCTCTATGGGAAGCCACAAGGGCCTGGACAGACCTGGATTCAAGGAGGGCACGCGACCTTTGCTTTCATCCACACAGGAGCTGCCCTTGACCTAATGCCTTGCCGTCGCCACCTTAAAGCTCACGTGTAGTGTGTTTGCCCACATCCTTCTTTTGCTTCAGGCCCTGCGTGTGGTGGAACCAGATTTGGCCCTAGGTAGAGTAGATTTCTGTGAATCAGGAGTGAGCTAGAGGAAGAAGCATTTTAAACAAGCCTCTCCATTGGAGAACTGCTGGCTCAGGAGAGCCTGGCCCCTCTGGGGCTCATCACACAGAAGGTCCCCAGTCAGCCCTCTGGGGCCTCCGTTGGCTGGGGCTTTCCCTGCTCTCCTCTTTTTGCCCTTTCCTCCCAGCCCAGACCACTTTGTCCTCATCCTCTGCCCTTGGCAGATGCCAGGCCTAGTATGGTGCCAGGACATCTTGGAAGCATCGGAGGTTCATCACACTTCTTCCATCCTTGTTAATTATAGGCTCTGTCCCTGGCCGCTCGTCCTCAAGTAATACTTTCCCAGTGTTTATTAATGATCTCTCCCCTACCGCTGAAGGATAGGCTCATCCAATAAAATCTCACTGACTTCCTACGCTACGCAAGGCCCTGTTGTCAGTCGTGGAAACTGGGAGAGAAGAATAGATTATTCCTGGTCTCGTAGCACACGCTCTTTGGTGAGGAAGACACACTTGCACCCACACCGTGGATCCAGTCTGATGATCGGCCCCAGATCTAGAGATGGAGATTTATTACACACACACACACACACACACACACACACACACACACACACCCATCTCAGCCTTCTTCCACAGCCAGGGTAGCACCAGGCGCCATCAGCCTCACCCTTCTCCCCACAGCTCACTCTCTGGATCAACGACAAGCTGCTGACATCGCTGGATCCCTCCTACGATGAAATGCGCAACCTTCCCAACAAATGGCTCAAGCACCAGGCTTTTGTGGCTGAGCTGGCTTCGCACCAGGGGTGGCTGGAGAACATTGACGCAGTGAGTCGCACATGTCGGGGCTGCCAGGGCTGCTGCTGAGGACACTTCATGGCTGGGGCTGCCCCATGGCGCGGACACTGAACCAAAACTTACTGGGCAGTGTGGGGCTCGGCAGGGGAATAAAGCTGCTCTGAGTCACTAAGACCGCAGAGCTCCGGGTACAGTCAGTCTTGTTTTTGAGTCTGATCGGAGCTGGTGCCTCTTCTGGGTCACCTGTGTCTGGGGACAGTCCAGGACACATCCTACCCAGGGTTACGCACTGCCCTGCCCAGTGCTAGGAAACCACAGGAGGTAGCCAGAGTGGCCCAGGGGAGCCATTTACCTCCACGGCTTGGACGGGCAAAGCTACCAGGGAGCAGTGAGTCCTTCACCGCCCTCCTAGGTGGAGACAGGAGACCCCGCTCTAGCAGGCCAGCACAATGGATGGCATTAGGTCTGAGGCCCACATCCCTTTGTTCTCCCTGCTGTGGCCTCTTCCTCTCCCCAGGTGAGAAGGAGAATAGCACTTACCCGTGAAGTTACGGGACCTAAATATGCGAAAACAGATATGGCGCTTAGCAGAGCACTTGGCCAGTGTGAAGCCCTCAGTAAATAGCAACTGCTGTCAGTATTGTATGTTCCTAGGCCCGATCCTATCGCTGTACACACCCCAGAGTGATACGTTTATACAGGTAAAGCCCTGCTAAGGCGTGCTCAGCAGCTAGAGATCCCAAAGATTAGCGCAGAATCCGAGGGACCCACAGGTGGGACCACAGGGAGGGCTCCAAGCTTCTATCACCTGGGGGAATCCTTGAAGTTTTAGTACCAGCGGACTGCTCCCTGCAGACCCCCATCCTGCAGTTTCCCTGAGCCCTTCGCCTCCAATGCTGCTCTCCCATCAGATGATTTCAGGCATTCAGAGTGTTTTGGTGGAGCTGTGCCTAAGGGCTATGCGGTCCTTTGCCTTAGCAAGCGCCCTTTGGCAGCCTCCACCCAGAACAGGGCTGCTCCTCGCCTCAGAGGGTGAGCTCTGCTCCTTCCCCTACAGGAAGGGGAGCAGCTGATAGAGGAGAAGCCCTGGTTCAAGATGAAGGTGTCCGAGAGGCTGGACGCCTTGCACCGGCTCTGGGATGAGCTGCAGGACACCACCAAGAAGGTGACCGAAGAGCTCTTGAAGGCCAGGAGCTCTGACCTGCGCTCAAGGACCGAAGCGGACCTGAACAAGTGGATCAATGCCATGGAGGACCAACTGCGGTCAGATGACCTGGGCAAGGACCTGACCAGTGTCAACCGGATGTTGGCTAAGTTGAAAGTATGTGAGCAGATTGTAGGCTCAGAGTATTAGACGAGCAGGGACCTTGGGCATAAGCCTGATGCCCTAAAGTAAGCACTCTTATTCCTCTTGCTGCACTGGCTTTACTATGCAAAAATGCCTCCTGTTTCGTAATCCGTTTCCTCCCCCCTTTTGCAGTAGGAGGGACAAGGACCCAGTGAAAGGATGCCTGGGAGATATAGGATAGGCTCTGAAAGCAGGCAAAATCCAGGGAGACTTCCTAGAGGAGGCTGAGCTCATACCCAGCCATAGAGGATGGCTGGAGGCAGGTGGATAAAGAGCCAGGAGGGGCCACCAGGTGCCAGAGCTATTGCTGATGCTGTCCCCTTGTCCCTCAGCGAGTAGAGGACCAAGTGAACATGCGCAAGGTGGAACTGGAGGAGCTGTTTACCTCACCAGGAGAAGACACAGACCTGAGTGTCCAGAGGCGATTCTTGGACCTCCTGGAGCCACTGGGGAGGAGGAGGAAGCAGCTGGAATTATCCAGAGCCAAGCTGCAGATCAGCCGGGACCTAGAGGATGAGACGGTGCGGGGCTGCAGCCGCCAGCGGCCATCAGGGTAGCTGGCTGCTGTCCCAGTGTTCTTGGCAGCGTATGACTGGTTGCCTCACCCCTTATCTCCAGGGTTCCTGCGGTGATTGTATTAAGTAGAGCGGCAAAGCCAGAGCCTTTTGAATGGCAACTCACTGATCACTTGCTAGTATTGATGGTGCTGAGAGGGGATTGGAGGGTCAGAAGGACTCGGTTTATCTGGGTTGTTGTACTACTCTCCCATCGTGAGAGCAGGGACAGGTGACTTGGAAACTCAGTGTGAAGTGCCACAATGCCCCATCTGTAAAATGGGGACAAGACCCTGGTGGGTGGGGTCCTGGGAGGAAGTAGGGAGATGCTTTGTGGGTGCTCAGGAAAGGGTAGCCACGGTTGTCATCAGCTGTCCCCTGCCCCTGCTGTCTGCAGCTCTGGGTGGAGGAGAGGCTGCCGCTGGCCCAGTCAGCCGACTGTGGCACGAATCTGCAGACCGTGCAGCTGTTCATGAAGAAGAACCAGGTAAGTCCTGCACTGCCAACCCAGGCCCCTGCCTGGCCCTGGGGCCCTCGCAGCCTTGCTCTGTGGAAGGCCAGTAACAGTAGGTTATTGCTCCTGTTGGTGGCTTCGGGGCATTTGAAGTCCCACTGCAGAAGGGCAGGATTTGGTGATTGAGGAGGGAATTCTGGGAGGACTGGACAGGAGGGTGGAATCGTGGTGCTCTGAAAACAGGGCCATTCAAACTCCCCAGGAGGCCCTGGCCTGGGTATATGGTGCTTTCGTCACCCTGAATTGGTGTTAATCATTCCTGGTTTCTGCCCCACAACACTGCCCTGGCCCACCTCCAGGCCAAGCCTGGCACATGTAGTGACCTTTTGGTAAAGATATCGTGGGGCCCAAACATCATCAGAAAGCCACTGAACGTGGACCCTGAGCCCTAGGAGAGACAACACCTGTGTTCAGCAAGCTTAAGCCAGACTGGGACTGGCTGAGGCCCTGGTATGAGTCCTGGGACAAGCGGGTGCCAGACACTTGCTCTGCCAGGGCTGTGGAGAGAGGTGAACCCTAAAGGAAGCCAGTTGTGTGGGGTCCCAGTGGCTTCATGCCTGGTGGGAGCTGGCCACAGGCAAGAATTCTTGGGCAAGAATCCCTCATCCTGCCCAGTCAGCTCTCGTGGTCAACAAGGAGACCCTGGGAACCAAGACCCAGATCAGAGCGTTGTGTCCTGGGTGTTGTGGCTCGCAGGACCCTCAGAGCCCAGCAATCAGCAGAGCCTGCACGAAACTCAGAGTGGTTTCTTCGAAGCTCCCTGGAGCCCTTGGCTTCCAGCTAGGCCTGTGACCTAGTCAAGAGAGCTGGACTAAAAGCTCAGATCTGGGTTTAGTTAAGGCCACAACCTGCTGTGAAAGGACAAGAATCGTGGGGGACAGTGGCCTTGAAACCTTGCTTGTCTCAATTGTAAAATGAGCCAGTGCCAGTCTTTCTAACACAGGAGACTTTTGCTTTTGTTGAGCCTCCGTATTAACGTGCAAAGGTTTCCAGCTGCCCTGGCTGGCAGCTGCTATTTTGGGAAAGGAGCAAATCAAATATGGATGGGGCTGCCCTCACCAAGAAGGACAAATCACCTCTTGGGAGAGCGCAGCGGCTCCGGTGGAGACTATTTTAGGCTGCCCTGGCTAAGCCTAGAGCTAGTTGTATTTGCCCCTGAAAATAGTCCACTGTGCACTGACCCTGAGGGCTCGGGGAGCGCAGCTGACTGGGCTCCCATCAGACCCACCACCGAGTCAGCTCTGGGGCGGAGCTGGGGCCTCCATGTCCGAGCTCCGCAGCCTGGGCAATTCTGAGGCTGCTAACTGGCCCGCTGCTTTGAGGACCGCTGCTCTGTTGGCTCCCGTCGTAGTCAGAGCAAACCCTGCAAGGGGCCACAGGACTCGTTCTCACACCTGGCCGCATGCTAAAATCACCAGGTGAGCTTCAAGGTCACAGAAGCCCGTTCTCACCTCAGATCAGCCAGTTTGGATCCCCAGGAATGGAGCCTGGTGGTGTCTGGGTGTGCAGTGGGTTGTGTTAGAGTTAAGAACCTTGCCTGCTCTGGCTCCTGCCTACCTCTAAACCACGTCTTTTTATTTTCAGGGTTGTTTTTTTTTTTTTCTTATTTATTTATTTTCTGTATTTTTGGGAAGGTCTACAGGGTATTCAGGGTCTCACTACTAGATCAGACTTGTAGTGATCCATCTGTTTGCTACCTATCTCTCATTTTGTTCTTTATTTATATTCTGAGTTTCTCACGTAAGGAAAACCATGTGGTATTTAAGCTTGGTGTCTGATTTATTTCACTCAGTGTGGTCTCAAGATGCGTCCATTTGCCTACAGATGACTCAAGTGTATCCTTTATGACAAACCAATGCTCCCTTGTATGTAAATACCGCGTTTTCTTTCTCCATTTATCTGTTGATGGATGTGGAGGCTGCTTCCAAGATTTAGCTGTTCTGGGCTGTGCTGCTGTAAACATGGGTGTGTGCAGATCACTGTGACATTGTAAGCAGCTCTCTGTAGCTCTCAGGTCCTTGTTTTGGGGGCACTGAAGATTGACGCTGACAAAAGAGCAAACGGCAAGTGGTGGGGAATGGCCAAAAGCTCCCTGCTAGTTGCAAGGGGTTCTGATAAGGTGGATAGCTCAGATCAATCATGGTGAACCTTCTAGAGCTTTCTGTAATACAGCCCAGTGTGGCGCAAATGCCCTAGGTACACCACCCCTGCAGTGGGCTCCTGGTTGTAGGCAGGCCTCTGAGGTCCAGAATGCAAGCTGCTCTGTCAGTGTGTCACATCCTCCAGGGCTCAGCAGAGGCTCAGGGCTCCCAGGGGCAGGGCTTGCGTGGCCTGCGGTGCCAGGGATTGAACCCCAGTCCCTGCGCTTGCCTACATAGGTGCTTAGTCCACTGAACTATCTCACCAGCCCTAATTGGCAATCTTTTGATTGAAATTTTTATTTTGGGGGAGCTAATTATTTGAATTCCTTATATATTCTAGATATTTGTCTTCTGTCCGAGGGATCGCTGGCAAAAATTGTTCCCCTTCTATAGATTTTTCTCTTGGTTGGTTGTTTCTGTTGCTATGTGGAAATTTTGATTTCATATGATCCCATTTGGTGATTCTTGGTGTTATTTCTTATGCCCTTCTTGTGTGATTTCTCTGTTCAGAAGACCCTTACCTATGCCTGTGTCTTCAAGACTTTTACTTATTTAATCCTCCAGTAGGTTAGGTATCTCTGTTTTAACATTTAAGCCTTGATCCATTTTGGTGCTTGTGTAGGTATGGGGGAACGAGAGGAATCTCTTCAGTCTTCTGCGTGTGCATAGCCAGTTTCCTCAGCACCACTTACTAAAGAGGCTAGCTTGCGTCCAGGGTATGTTTCTTCCCCCTTTATCAAAGAGGAAACCCCTAGGGGGCTGGGGAGATGGCTCAGTAGAATAAGTGTTTGCCTAGCAAGCACAAGGGCCTGAGTTCAATCCCCAGTTCCACAAAAAAAAAAAAAGAGGAAACCCCTGCCTGTTTCTGCACTGAGGCGTTTCTGCACCCTCTGTTCTGTTCTCATGTCTGCTTTCGTGCCAGTACCTGCGTGTGTGTGATATTAGCTCAAACCCACGACCATGAAGCCTCCTGCTTTGCTCTTGTTGCACAGGATGGCTTTTGCTGTTCTGGGGCTTGGCTGGTTCTATATGAATTTCAGACTTAAGCCACATCTCTTCCCACTTCCACTGTCCTCATTAGCTCTTCTCTTTCGCTCCTGCGGCCCTTTTCTCTGCCAGCTGACTGCCCAGCCTCCTTTTTACCTCACACCTTTGTAGCTGCTCTTTGTTTACGCCAGCAGCGCCCACCCCAGGTGCTTGTGTGGCTGCCTCCCGCTCCACATTCACGCCTCACTCCAGCATCATCGCCTCAGAAGGGCCCTTCCTGAGTTCCCTAGCTGGAGTAGCCATCACTGCCTGTGGTAGACACCCTTTATCCTGTTGTGGAAGTTGCCTCGCAAAACCCAGAGAGAAAGTTGTAGCCTTCATTTATTTACACGCTTACCATCCACTTCATCTGCTTGATAGTGAGCTTTATGAGGACGGGTGTTCGCCATCCCATTTCCGTTTCACCCCTAGCACCTAGAACAGCATCTGGCACATAGGCGAGCGCTTAATGAATATGTGCTGGATAAATGAAGACCCAGAGGACACCATAGACAAGGACCCTCCACAGGAAGCTAGGAAGGCTTCGAAAGGGAAGAGGATCACATTTTGAGAGCACCGTGCTGAGGTCATAAGATCTCGGAAATAGGGAATGGCAGCAGCGCTGGCAGCATGGGCTGTTTAGACCCCATTGCAGAGACCATGGGAAACTGTCCGGATGGAGATTCCCAGCGTAAGGCGCAGGCGTGCCTTTCGGGCAGTGCCTCGTGGGCAGCACCACTCCAAGGTGTCTCGATGCCAGCAATTGTACTCTACCCACACAGGCTGCTCTCGCCGCTGCCTCGCAGATGGTTTTTCAGCCGTGGGGAAATCATCATCCGGAATGAAGTGAGGCATAAGGTGCCCAAGAGCCCACATAGCAGCAGCAGCTAGCGTTGGCCCTGAGGACCCATGGCGGGTCCTGACTACATGTCAAGGCCTCCTGAAGAAAGACATGGTCTGGTCATCAGAGTGGGAGGAAAAGGCCGGCTTAGTGACCAAAGGCTCACATGGTTCACAAAAGATTTGGGAAATAGAAATGGAGAGAAAGCCAGAAATTCTGCAGAAGAGGCAGATGTCACTGTCCTTTTGTCACAAGTAAATAAAATACCAGATGGTCATTAGATGTGATGTTTCTTTCTTCCAATACTTGCACCTAAGTGACCAGGCTCTGCTGACACATAGAACAGGGTCAAATCCAGAGCACAAGCCTGGAGTCAGGTAGTGAGCCCTGTGCTCAGGTCCCAGCCCAGCCACTCGCCACCAGCAGGTTCCTCCACTCTCTGTGCCAGTGTCCAGCGCTTCTCTCAGTGGCCATCTGAGGGTGAAAGGAGCCTGCCTGTGGGTGCCTAGCGGCCTGCTGCCCAGAGCCCTGGCAGCTTCAGTTGCATCACTGCTGTGCTCCAGCAAGAGAAGGAGAGAGGGGAGGAGGGAATGAGGGTGGGCCCAGGGCAGCAGATGCAGACTGCCCTGTCAGAAGGCCCTTCCCTGAGCCCTTCCTTCTGGTCACAGACACTGCAGAATGAGGTCCAGGGCCATGCACCACGGGTGGAGGATGTGCTGCAGCGGGGGAAGCAGCTGGTGGTGGAAGCAGAGACCGACCTCCAGGACATTGAGGAGCGCCTGGGGCACCTGCAGGCCTCCTGGGACACGCTGCGGCAGGCAGCGGTTGGACGGGGGCAGCTCCTGCGGGATGCCCATGAGGCACAGCAGTACTACCTGGATGCTGATGAGGCTGAGGCCTGGATCAGTGAGCAGGAACTCTACATCTTCTCCGATGAGCCCCCCAAGGTCAGTCAGGGCAACCTTGGAGCCCAAGTGTACAAGCGCAGGGCATGGGTATAGAGTGAACCACAGGATCTCTCTGCTGTCCCCCGGGTCCCCCTTCACGGGACACCCCTCTTGTTGCCAGTACCCCTGCAGTACACACTCCACACCAAGACTCCCCACCTGCACACAGACTTGGGAAATTGGGGCCCAGGCAGTGCTGGGGATTAGAGTAACAGCAAGGGAGGGTATGTGGGTCTCTTCCCTGCCTTGGTGCCTCAATAGCTGAGCGGGACCTTGCCTGGGCAGGGAGCGTGGCCTGGCTGGGCTCTGGGGCTAACCACCTGTTCCTTCTAGGATGAAGAGGGCGCCATAGTGATGCTGAAGCGGCACCTGCGGCTGCAACGCACCGTGGAGGAGTACGGCAGGAACATCAAGCAGCTGGCTGGCCGGGCACAGAGCCTGCTGGGTGCGGGCCACCCTGAGGGGTGAGTGTGCTCCTGGGGGACCTGACAGGTCACGGGCCAGGGGCCCCACCAGCCAAGCGCCCTTCACATTGGCCCAACTCCATGTTCTGCCTCGGTTTTGTGCAAGGAACCTGAAGTGGACCACCCAGGGCCAGGTCTACAAAAAGATCAGAAAATGAAATAGTCAGACCACCATCTTGGTGAACAGAGAGCTCCCTCTTTGGAGGAATGAGCATATGCTTAGGGGTGCAGAAGGCAAACTGCTTTTCTGTCTATGGTTTAGAAGGTGCTTCGGGACCTCACAGGGTCTCCACAAAATCCTTAGGTAGGAGCAAAGGTAGAAAAGTGATATTCTCTGCACTGATAAGGGGGATCCCCCTGGAAGACTCTTCACGGCCCTGCTGTCTGCTGCCTTTAGCACTCCCATCACTGCATCTCCAGGGACACCCTGAGCGCTGAGCCCATCTATGTCTCCCTGAAAAGCTAAACAGAGCTGCCGTTGGCCCCGCTCAGAGCTCTGCCCCCAAGGCTCTGGGAAGGAGGAGAAGTTCCCCCGGTGCCCTGGACAGTGAGGGAGGAGCCCAGTGGACTTGGCTGTCCGCACGAGGACACAGTCCCACCATGCCTGGCAGCATCATGATCTAAAGGCCATGACTTTTCTGCCCATCTCTTCCCTGGACTTCATACCTGTGTCTACCCATGCAGGGCCTTGGGGGCTCAGCCCCTCAGAGCTGCCTGCTGTGGCCACCTTAAGGGATTTCTTGGTTCCAGGGAACAGATTATCAGACATCAGGGGCAAGTGGACAAACAGTATGCGGGGCTGAAGGAAATGGCTGAGGAGCGCAGACGGAAGCTGGAGAACATGTACCACCTGTTCCAGCTGAAGAGGGAGGCTGATGACCTGGATCAGTGGATGACAGAGAAGGAGAAGGTGGCCTCCGACCAGGAGATGGGGCAAGACTTTGACCACGTGACTGTAAGTAGCTCCAGTCCCTGCTTTCTTTGCCTTCCACTACTAACACGGCTGACACAACCTGATGGCCTTCCTAACCCATGCGCTGCCCCTGCATGGGTCAGAGGTGCAGTTACACTGGGCTAGGAGTGGCCAGCAGGCTCAGGCTCCCTGGGGAAGGTGTGAGGCCAGGGCAAGCAGGTGTGGTTGCAGGTGAATGTACAGCTTCGAGCATGATGGTGTCCACCTGCTCCTGAACTCTGCTGACCCCATTTCTGTCTGCCACACATCCAGATGCTCAGAGACAAGTTCCGAGACTTTGCCCGGGAGACTGGGGCAATCGGGCAGGAGCGGGTAGACAATGTGAATGCCATCATTGAGCGGCTCATCGACGCCGGCCACAGCGAGGCGGCCACCATTGCTGAGTGGAAGGATGGGTTGAACGACACGTGGGCAGACCTGCTGGAGCTCATCGACACCCGCATGCAGCTACTGGCAGCCTCCTACGACCTGCACCGCTACTTCTACACGGGTGCTGAGATCCTAGGCCTCATTGAGGAGAAGCACCGGGAGCTGCCCGAGGACGTGGGGCTAGACGCCAGCACAGCAGAGTCCTTTCACCGCGTGCACACTGCCTTCGAACGGGAGCTCCACCTCCTGGGCGTGCAGGTGCCCTCAAGTGTCCCCGACCCCTCCCTGTGTGTCAGGGCCCCATGGAGCACCTAGAAGGAAAACTCTAGAAAGGATACCAGGAGGTTTTTCTCCCCTCGAAAACCAACAGCTCAGAGCAGAGAGCAGGGACTGTCAGATACTCCAGCTTTAGAAGTAACTCCTTAAACTGACTTCACAAGTAGCTTCCCGTCCAATTTCTCTGCTTGCTCAGACTCTTTAGCTAATGCTCTTCTAGCCCCAGTAATGTTCTAAGCTGTAGACGCAGTCCCCAGATCCTCCTAGCTGTCCTCTTGAGTGGATATGAACATGGTCTGCATGTAGTAGACGAGGACGTGGAGGCAGCGTGTGTGTGAGCTGCCTGGGAACCTGCAGGTATGCAGTGCAGCCGGGGTTCAGAGCCCGTGGTCTGGTTGTAGACCTCACATGCTTAGTGGGGCCTTCTACCTAGATGCCCTTCCTTCCTAATCACTGGGGTACACCCTGAGGAGCCTCTGCAGGTCCTGAGGGTTTCCCAGAGTTCAGTGTTTATGGTAAGGGCAAGTGTGCAAAGCCCAGCTGCTGAGGGACCCAAGGCCTCCATTGCAGTAGAAAAAAAAAATGAGCTAACTGTGCAGTCCCAGGCCCATACAGCAGGGTTCAGGGACAGAACATCAAAGTAGGGTGGACCCTGGTTCTCCCTGAAGGGGGTCTCTTGGGACTTACCCTCCTCAAAGCTCAAGGTGGAACCTGGTATACAACTGGGCTGTCATGCTTGGGGCTGCCCGAGCCCTTGAGTCAGGTATAGCCCTACTGAGGTCTTAGAAGTGTGAGGCTTCATGCTCTGGGGTTGGCCCCAAACAGGGGATCTGAGCCAGCCCCTTCCCTGGATAGGCAAGTGGCACAGTGGGGAAAACAGGAAACAGCTAAGAGCACAGTTGCAGCCCCACTGTCCCCTGAACCAGTTCAGGGGGAGGGAACTGAGGCCGGCTGCTTCATCTCCTTGTGCCTTGGTTGCCGCATCCCCAAAGCAGGTGTTGTACAGTACCTCCTTTGTGGGTTGCTGTAAAGGTAAAGAGAATGAAGAGACGTGTACTACGTAGAACGGTGCCTGGCCCATCGCTGCTCTTTTTGTTACTTCTGAGGCAACCAAGGGGTACAGAGCCCCTCTTGCTTCGAACTCACCCTGATGTCTGTGGTCCCCTGGGGTAGGCAGAGCAGAAGACCTTTCTGGGGGAGACTCCTTGCTGGGTGGAAGCAGGGACCCTCCCTTCCAGTCCAGGCCCGAGAGCTCTCTGTCCAAGAAACAGTGTCTGGTTTGGCTTGGCTGTGCAGGTACAGCAGTTCCAGGATGTGGCCACACGCTTACAGACGGCGTACGCTGGGGAGAAGGCAGATGCCATCCAGGGCAAGGAGCAGGAGGTGTCCGCGGCCTGGCAGGCACTGCTCGACGCCTGTGCCGGGCGCCGGACCCAGCTGGTGGACACGGCTGACAAATTCCGCTTCTTCAGCATGATCCGAGACCTCTTGTCCTGGATGGAGAGTGTCATCAGGCAGATTGAGACCCAGGAGAAGCCCAGGTGAGGAGGAGCCCTCCGGACAGCCCCGCTCTGCGCGGGCTGCTCCCTGGGGAGCTTCTAGGACGGTGGAATGCCCGAGACCTCAGTTCTTCCTGGAAGAAATGGAGTCGCTTGGCTTTGGCTGGGAGAAATGATTATCTCAGAGGAAGCAGGGAAAGACGTCTGTCACCACGTCCTCCCATGGGGGTAGGGACTTGCACATCCTAAGCTGGCAAGTCCGAGACTGTGCATTCTTCCCCCACACTGGGATGTGGGGCGGGGGGATCATTCCCCTGAAACTCAGGATGGAGCTGTTTGTCCACAAAAAGATAGGGCCAGGCACAGGCAGTGAGAGCCACACAGGACTCGGTCCCTACCCAGTTTGTGTCAGTTCAGCAGTGACTAGCGACTCAGCTCTGTCCCGCTGCCCCAGGTGCCTTCTCAATGGCTGCATTTTTAACGTTACCATCTTTGTTGAGATATAAGTCACACACCACACTTGACCCACTTAAAGTATAGCATTCAGTGATTGTACATATTCCCATTTATACAACTGTCACCACAATCAGAGTTCAGACTTTCCTTACTGCCACCACCCCTGGATTCCTCTGCTACTGGAGTTGCTTGCTGTGCCCTTTCACCCTGGCAGCTCCATTCTACTTTTTTTTTTTTTTTTTTTTTTTTTTTTCAGAATGGGGGATTGAACTCGGGCCCTTATGCTTGCCAAAGAAGTGCTTATTCTACTGAGCTACCTCCCCGGCCCCCATTCTACTTTTTGCCTCTCTGCATTGCTTGTGCTAGACTTTTCATATTAGTGGAATCATGTAATATCCTATGTGAAGGCTTTCTTTCATTTAACCTACACCCAAGGCTCATCCATGGTGCATTATCAATCAGCACTTCAGTACTTTTTATTGCTGAAAAATATTCGCAGATGTATTAGGCGGCTTTTCTGTCACTGGTACTAAATAGCAGACAACCACAGCTTGAGAGAGAGGTTTAATGTGGGTCATGGTTTCAAGGGTTTTGTCCATGGTTTGCTGGCCCCTGCGGCAGGAACAGCATGGTGGAAGGGAGGGTGTGGCAGAACAAAACCTATAGTTCATGGGGCCAGGAAGCAGAGAAAGAGCCAAGGACCAGATATAGAAGCTACAAACCCCAGTGTCATGCCTCTGTGACACACACGGAGACAGCCAGAAGTGTGAGTCTACTAACCTAAGTAGCTCCCACATTGAATTGACAGTGTAGTTAACCATCAGCCTTAGTTTCTTCTGGAATCTTCCTACCCTCTGTTCATGCCTTGGCCAGTGACCAATGGACAAGAGGTGTCAGTGGTCCTGCTCTAGCTGAGCAAGCCCAGCTGGCCAGAGAGAAGAGAGTGGGCACAGGTGGGGGCGGCCCCTCTGCCACAGGGACTCCCAAATGGTTCTCTGTGCCCCGTCCTTCTGCCCACAGGGATGTCTCCTCAGTGGAGCTGCTCTTGAAGTATCACCAGGGCATCAAGGCAGAGATCAACACCCGGGCCAAGAACTTTAACACCTGCCTGGAGCTCGGGGAGTCCCTGCTGCAGCGGCAGCACCAGGCCTCGGATGAGGTGAGCCCCTACACATCTTTGTCCCTGCCCTTGCAAGCAATGGGGCTGCCTGCAGGCCAGTTACCAGATGCTCACAAGCCTGTCCCCACCTCCCTAGAGAGCAGACCCATACCCCAGCCCCAACACCCATGTGGATACAAAGGCAAGTCACAAATAGGTGCCTCAGAGAGATTAAGGGACTTGCCCCAGGCTGCACAGCTGGAAAGAAGCAGGGTCCAGACTTGAAGCCAGGACTGTGGGGCCAAGCCCAGCCATCTCCACAGCCGACTGTGTGTCACCTCGGACAGGGGAGGGTTGGCCCACTCCTGAGCTGCTCTCCTTCCTTTCCCTGCAGATCCGGGAGAAACTGCAGCAGATGATGGCCAAGCGGCTAGAGATGGATAAGAAATGGGAGGACCGGGAGGACCGGCTCCGCATGTGTGAGTGCAGCTCAGGGTCCAGGGAGCTGGGGGAGTAGGACCCCCAGCCCCAGTGCAGAGGGGAGGAGGGGTACTGCCCGGAGAAGTCCTGGGGCTGGGGCATCACACACACAGGTCTCCAGGATCCCGGCAGAAGGCCCCGGCAGTTCCCCAGTGACCATATGCCCCACTCCCTGCCCACCCCGCCCATGCCGACCTGTGCCCTGCTGGTCCCCAGCTGTAGCCAGGGAGGGGTCAGGGTGTGGCTCTGCTGTGTCCTGGACACTGGCTCTGCAGTATGACAGGACCCCTGTTGCGTCACCTCTGCAGACCCAGGGCAGGCAAGGGAAGCCTCACTTTTCTCCCAGTCAGGCATGGGAACACAGGCCTATCATCCCAGCATTGTGGGATACTGATGCAGGGAAATCTCAAGTTCAAGCCCAGCCCGGGGCAATTTAGCAAGTGAACAAGACTTGGTCTTAAAGTCAAAATCAGAGGAAGGACTAGGGAGATTGCTTGTTGTGAAACTCTTGGGCTCAATCCCTAGTACGTAGTGGAAAAAAAAAATAAATAAAAAATAAGGCCAGGTGTGGTGGTTAATGCCTGTAATCCCAGTACTCGGGAGGCTGAGGCAGGAGGATCATTGCAAGTTTGAGACTGGCTAGGGCTACCTAGTGAGCTCAAGCCCAACCTGAACTGTATAGTGAGACCCTGTCTCAAAAAGATTATTAGGGCCAGCAAGATCAGCAAACTATGCACCTGCTTAGGCAAGTGCAAGCACGGGGACCCGGGATTCAATCCTAGGTGCCATATGCCGCACCGGCCCCGCCCCGGGTGCCCTGAGCTGGCCACCAAGTCCAGGCATGGTGGCACATGCCTGTAATCCCAGCACTTGGGAGGCTGAAACCAGGAGGATCACTATGAGTCCAAGCTGCATAGTGAGACCCTGTACAAAATACATTAAAAAAAAAAAGATTAATTAAGGCCTGGGCTGGTCCCCACCGCTGCTTGTCCAGATGGTGTGAGATGGGCCAGGGCCAGGAAGAGAACCCTGGTGCTCCTCAAAGGAGGCACCTAACTGCATTTTGTTTTCAAAATGGTTCCTTCCAATGAACATCTCAGAAGTAGGCCATGAAGGAGGTGGGGTGAGGTGGCCTCCAGCAAGCAGTCTGGGCAGGGTCTCAGCAGGCTATCACCCACGTGGGCCTCCTGCCTGCTACCACCCCCGAGCGTCTGCTGTGCTGCCCCAGGTCACTGGGACTGCTGAGCCTAACAGGCCCTGCCTGACGGTGGCCCTGCGGCTTGTTCCCACCGCAGTGCTCGAGGTGTGCCAGTTCTCCAGGGATGCCTCTGTGGCTGAAGCATGGCTGATCGCCCAGGAGCCCTACCTGGCCAGCCGGGACTACGGGCACACGGTAGACAGTGTGGAGAAGCTGATCAGGAGGCACGAGGCTTTCGAGAAATCCACAGCCACCTGGGCAGAGCGCTTCGCCGCTCTGGAGAAACCCACGACGGTGAGCAGGATGTCTGGGTCCTCGGGTGGCTGGCTGTCAAGGGGAGAGAGAACTCTTGGCTGTTGTCGGGTACTAGGCTGGGGTAGCAATGTGGAGAAAACACTGACCTTTAAATGCCAAAGCCAGAAGGGGTTGGGGGACAAACCCCGCATGTGCTGGAGTGCAGGGCCATCCCTGGGGGTGGGGGAGAGGCATCTGAGAGCGCAGCTGCAGCTGCCCTGACCCTTTGGCCTTTTCCTCTACCAGCTTGAGCTTAAAGAGCAACGCCAGTCCCCAGAGAGACCCACAGAGGAGCCTGGGTGAGTGGCGGGGGCACGGAGCTCACTACGAGGGGGCTAGGTGGGGGAAGGGCACAGCTTCCGGTTGGAAGCTGCGGGTCTGCATAGGACCCCTCTAATGTCTCACTCCTGGGCATAGAGGTCAAAGCTAGGGAATCGCGTTGCCCCAGCCGTGGCAGCCTGAAGCCCGGCAGGAAAAGGATGGCAGGCAGCCGCTGCCGTGATCCGTGACTGCTTGGTGCAGCTCAATTCTCCTCAGGGAACCTCCAGGGCAACCCCTCCAAGGAAGGTGCCCATTTGCAGGGCATCTGCCTTTGCCCTTCCCAGCGCAGCCCTGGGAGGCGCTATCGAGAGCTCAAACACCTTCCCCGCGGGTGACGGTGCAGGCAGCTGATACCAGGCCCTGGGGGGTCGCCTGGTGCTACACGGAGGCTGCATCTTTCTTAGGCCTCAAGAGGAAGAAGGCGAGACAGCCGGGGAGGCGCCCCAAGCCTACGCGACCACCACCGAGAGAGCATCCCCGGTCAGTTTTCTGACGGGTTGGTCTGATTCCGCGGAGTCGTTGCTGCCAGAGTCCTACCACCCCTAGCCCTTGGGGCCAGGCCGGAAGGCAAGGGCAGGGCCCCAGCCACCCCGTGCCCCTCCAGAGCCGCCTTCCTTTTTTACTTAGGTCTTTTTAATTGTTAGGAGAATTCCCCTCTTCCTTTCCACCCAGAAGAAACTGACATGCCAGCCCACTGACATTCACTTGGTTTTATCTAGTCTAATAAATTTTATTGTATAAACAACTCCCCACCCACGCCAGGGGCGGCTCTTCATACACGCAGGCTCATTTCTACACACTGATGGCTCTTCTGTAACGCCATCCGCTACACGCACTGCGCATGCGCGCACATACGTATCCACCCGCCCCCCCCCTTGCACAGACACCCACCCCCCTTGCACAGACACACACCCCCGCCCCAGGCATTTGAGGCACCGAAATGAGCACCCCCTTCTGGCAGAGGCTCCCTCCCTCCCATGCAGAGCCCTCTCCCACTTTGTGCTGCCATGGCTGTGGGTCAGTTTGGATATGGAGCTGGCCCCGCAGGCGTTTGGGAGGCAACCCCAGTGTATCGGAAAATGGAAAAGGAGGGTGAGTCAGAGGCCTGAAGGTTGAGGAGGGGCCCAGGGCTCTGCCAGAAGCGGGGCATATGGCTTCAGGGCCTTGCCTGGGGTGCCCTGAGGCCCGGAGGACTGTTCAGGGTCCCGGACACTGTGGGCCAGGAGAGGACCCTGTCCTGGGTAGCGACTAAGAAAAAAGCAAGAATCAGCATGCAATTTGCATGGCTTCCCCACCGCATGGACCCCTGTGCACGCGGCTCCTTGTGTCCGGAGCAGCAGAACACTCACACTCCATCTTCCCAAGTACCCAGGCGGGCGTGCCTGACCTCTGTGTGAGGATTTAGGAAGATCAAGCTTCTCTTTTCGAAATTTCTGGTACATAAGCCACCCTAGAAAAGACACACATAAGGGCCAGGGATATAGCTTAATGGCATAAGCGCCTGCCTGGAAAACGCACACATACCACGCCCCGCCTCTACTGGGCTCAGACCAAGTAGCCCTCCCTGCCACACACAGCTCCCTCTGGCGCCCTCGCCAAGCTGCACAGCCCATTGTGCCCAGCAGAGGGCACTGGCGGGCCTCTCCCGGAGTTCCCTTGAGGCTCCCGAGGCCCCCAGACGCTGCGTTCCAGCTCCTTCCCTGCACCAGCCCCAGCCAGACGGAGAGAAGTCCAGGCTGACAAGGACTGCTGGCACAGGCTGGGGCTTGCCCTGCCTTCCGACCCCACCTGCGCTTCTGCCCTGGACCCCTGTGTGTCTGCATGCGCTGGTGTCCCCGGTGTGCGGGCTCCCAGGCGGCCACCTGAGCGACTTACCGTGTGTCCTGTCCATGTGTGCAAGTGTAATTACGTGTGCATCAGAGCCGCTGAATGTCACAGGGTGGAGGGGAATAAACCTGCTTGGACCTGAGTGTCTCTGGGGGAGGAGGAGTGAGCCTGCATCTGAGATATTCCCAGAGAGCGAGCCCCTCGGCCAGATGGGACACCTGGCCCGAGCCCCACACCAGAAAGAAAACAGATGGTGCGTCCCGTGAACACCAGGCCGAGGCCGCCTGGACACACATTTCCCCCGCTTCTCCTTACTGAGCCTCTGAGGAGCCACAAAACACAGAGGGAGGACCTAACGCTCCATTGCCTTCAACATGAGAAGGAGCGGGGAGGCTATTGGGGCAGGGAGAGCCCAGCTCGATTGGGAAGGCTCCTCCCCTCCCCCAGCCTGCCCTGTCCTGCCCCTTTCCAGGACCCTGGCCCGTCCCAGCAGGCTTGGTTGGCTGCTGCACCTTCTCTCTGGGACAGGCCCGGGGTGTGGTGGCTCTGCTGCCTGTCCTGTGTGTACACTTGGCGTCAGCGTCCTGTAGGATAGATCCACGCCATGTCGCTTCATGTCAAGCTCCTTAGTGTGCATGTTGCTTCCTGCTGGGGGGACGGACGGGAGTGGCCCAGGCACCCTTGCCCCAGCTGGACAGCTTCCTACTTCAAGACGGCCACCCCGTCTTCCCCTTCCTGTGCGTGTGTGTGTGCGCACGCGAGCACACAGTGACCAAGCTGCTGTTCCATCTTCCCGTGATGCCACTGCCCCCCTCACCTCCAGCCTCTCCACATCAGAGCAGGCCTGGTAAAAGCCAGCCCCCTTCTTCAGGTAAGTTTGTGGGAGACGGGGCAGGAGACACAAGTGTTCCGGGCACCTGGGTGCTGGTCCCCCTTCTGTTGGTACTTCTGAAGAATTGTAGCTAATTCCTCCGAGCTTCGCCCCCAGGGAGATGGCTTCCTGATGCTTTCTAGTCATCACAGCTCCAAGGAACCTGGACAGTTTGCCAGGAACCAGCTGGTGTGAGGCTGGGATGCCTCCCTTTGTCCCTGTCTGAGAAGAGAGGCCAGACTGGATCTCTCCTGCTAGCACTTGTGGTGCACAGAAGGGGTCTGGTAGCTTCTGCTCTGTGCCAGGGCAGCAGCAATGAGGCCAACTTGCCCAGAGCCTCATGCCTGCGGACATCCTGGCCAGAGCTGTCCTTACCCTGACGGCCTCACCTAACACACCTCCCCTTTCCCTGCATGTCTGGTCCTGGGAGGGTCTTGGGCACTGCAGCATTTGTAGTGAGAGGTTTTCCCCAGGAGGGGAGGTGGGTTTCCACGGCCCTAGAAAGGACTCCAGGCCGCAGCCTCTTCTGCATGCATCCTCCGCACAGTGCCTCTCTCCAGTTTGGGGTCAGAAGTGGCGTTGGCAGGGCTGCTGTGGTGCCAGGAGTGGGGTTGATGCCCTCGGGGGCTGTACTACCTGAGGACTTCCTTAAGTTTGGGATAAATGTGCCCTTGAGCCTCCAAGCTCCGGATGGATCCAGGCTGCCTTTGGGATGCAAGGCCACCCCGTTGCCTTTCAGAGCCATCAGAGCATGGTCAGGAGAGCTGTCTCCTAAGGGCAGCTCCCAGGCACACAGCTTCCAAGACCACTTGCAAAGCCAGCATCCCTGGAGAAGCCTCAGGAGGCTAAAGACAGGGAGTCAGAGTTGCAGGGTCCCTTGCCTCTCCTTGCCAGGGTCTTGGGTTTGTGTGGCTTTAGGGAAGCAACCAGGCCTGGTAAATGTGGGGGACTATACCCTAGAAGTAGTGTAGGTTCTGAGCATGCAGTCGAGGCCCCCTCTGAGCCAGAGGCTGGTGGCTGGCTGTCTCTGCTGTGGCCCCCTAAGCGCTCTGGCTGCCTCACCTCCACCTCTGTAGCAGCCCCCCTGGGAGCAGCAGAAGAGCTTTAGTCAGCAGTCAATGAGGGCTCTGACGTCCTCAGAGGGAAGCACTGCTGTGGGCAAGGGGCCAGCAGCTGCTTCTTGCCTGAACAAGCCTCCCCACATCTCCACCCTGCCAACAGCAGCTTTTTCAGACATTTTGCAGTGCAGGCAGATTCTAGGTTTATACTTACTGGGCAGACCCAGCCTGGAAAGACGTCAGCATCCTCCCAACCTGGGTGTGTCCCTGTCTCCTCAGGATGCCTGAGTCAGTGGGGCAGGGGTGTGGCGCCTACCATCTGGCACCTCGCCTGGCTCCCTGAGGAAACCTGCTGGGGCTCTTTCTGGCTGTTTGCGGGCTGCTGGGCATGCCCAGCCCTCTTTGCAATAGCCAGATGCAGTCTTCCTGCTTCAGAGGCTCTTTCCAAGTTTGTTCTTTCAAGCTGTGTTCCCAAGCACCCCAAAAACTGGTGGACTCAGGATGAGACTAAGTAGACGTCGGAGGCATCTCACAATGGGTCTGGAGTGCCATCTTGGTGTGTGGGTACTGATCTGTGTGCAGGGCTTGGCATCTTTTCTTTCTGGTCTTTCTAATGCAGAGTGGCAGGCTCCAGGGCACTGAGAGATTAAGCAGCCACCTGCTCCTCCAGGACAGGGACCCAGGAAGACTGTACAGCAGAGGGCATGACGGTCTCCTTCCTCTGGTCTGGAGGAGCCTGGCAACAGCCATTCCCCTTCACCCTTGCCCACTTTACCTGGTGCCCTTTTGCTGCCATCCCCTCCTGTGCCCTTGCCCTTGGACTGATAGCTATTCCTTGGGCTGCAGCACCCAGAGCCGGCTCCCAACCCGACTCCTCGAAGGTGTGTCACAGTCCCCAGCCTCTGCTCCTCCCCAGCCCTTTCCCCCAGCTCAGTACCCGCTCTGCTGTCTTGTGTGGGGCATTTGTCTCTACTGCCCTAAACTGCCACCTCTTCATTTCTGTATCTCTTTGGCTGCTTTCAGCTCAGCCAACTGCGATCCTCTTGGATACAGCTGGCTTTGAACAGCCTTTCCACCCCTCCTATACAGCCCTGCTCACCCAGAGTACAGTGCTGGGATGGCAGAGGCTGGGGGCCAGAAAAATGTGCTAGCCAGTGGCTGACTGTGCCCACCCCACTGTCCCCCAGAATGACTGGCCACCTAGCATTTGATGACAAGTCCCATCTGGCCTTGGGCTCTCCATCTTCCAGCCCTGATGTGGTCACTCTGCGTACATGGATTGGCCACGTGTCTTATGTAAGCCGGGTGCCTCTGGTTTAGACCATGAGCCATCAGATAGACGCTCACCTCTGGAGGGACAATCCTGGCCCTCCTCTGTCACTGCAGAGCTTAGTAGAGAAAAAGCCCTAAGTATGGAGTCAGACAGACCTCATCCTCCACCTTCCTTCACTTGATGCTGGGGCTGTGAGAGGGCGACTCACACCTCCCCACCTGACCTCCTCATCTGTAAAATGTGCAGCAACCATATCAGCCTTGTGGGGTGGCTGTGAGGACTAGAACAAAGAATGTAGGTGGTAAGAAAAAAGAATGTAGGTGGTGTGTCTGGCTCCTAGAGGTGATATTGAAGTCTCTTCATTCATCCTCCACCCTCTTCTCTTAAAAGAAGCGTCCTCTGCCAGGCATGGCCAAGCTCAGCTTATTTAGGGCCACATACAAACTATATAATACACAGAATATAGATAAGTAACAAAACCTCCATTTATAATTTTTATTGTAACGTTTTTCAAGAAGAGGACCAAGCTGGGTGTGGTGGTGCCCATTTTTAATCCCGGAACTTGGGAGGCTGAGGCAGGAGGATCAAGGAAGCCAGCCTGGTGCTCGTAGAGAAACCCTGTCTCAAATAAATAAGCAAGCATGCTGGTCAGCAGCCCCCCTGTGGGCTATGGGTAGGACATACGTGTCTGTTTGGACCCCTCCAAAGCCAGCCTTCCCAGAGCCAGTCATCCTAGAGACCCCTTGTATGCATGCACTGGGCATAATCATCGTTTAGCTATGGTCAGGCCACCTGCCTCGCAGGGGAAGCCTAGTTCTCACCAGTGTTATCTGGAGAGAAGACCCTGTTGTTCGTGTTCCTCCACTTGTGAAAGTGTCCAAGTCCCCTGAGCACCCCCAGAACCTCCAGAGGCCCTGTGGTCCCAGCCCTGTTATTTTGGCTGTTGTCTCTGTGTGCTCTCCTCTGCCCTCTGCTGGCTGATCCTGGAAATACACTTCAACTCCTTAGTCCAGAGAACTTGCCGGTCTGGTCCTGCACATCTCCTTGCCAGCCCGTGCACGTGCTGAGCGTCCTCTGTGGAAGGGCCCCTCAGGCCTCTGCCTGCTTCTCCTGCTTGGTTGAGCCAGTTGCCCAACAAAGCAGGGCTCACACGGCTCCTGCCTGACCTCACAGGTCTCTGCCAACACCCCGAAGCTGCCATCCTCCTACCATTAGTAGCACCTGGGCTCCTCTGTTCAACTTTATCCTGTAGGGTCTGACAGGGCTGTCCTGGGTCCATGCCACCGTTGATGTCCCTCAAGCAGCAGCCAAGATCACCAGTGTGACACAACCCTCGCAGCTCGCATGCATGCCCTCTTCTCTGAGCCTGCCCTATTCCCCCTAGATGGCAGAGCCTGGCAGACCTCAGCCCCAGCTGGCCACTTGCCCTCGTGGCCTCGGAGCTGCTGTGCGCCAGCCTCCTTGCCACCCTGCACAGGCAGACAGCTACTGAGCATCCAGCCCCTCCTCCTGAAGAAGCCCCAGCTCCTTGAGTGACATCCTCACAGGGTGGCTGATAGTTTCTACCTTACAGCATGGAGGACAGCGAGGGGCTCCAACCTCTCCTCCACTCGGTGCCTGGTGGCAGACCCTGCCTGTCCCTATGGCCACACCTCACCACATGATGGCTCCTGGCACTCTGTCCACTGCTCTGAGGGGCAGAACAGATCTCCACTCAGTCTGCAGCATGCTGCCAGGGGTGGCAGGAAGCACTGTCACCTCTTCCTTCTCCTGTTTATTTCCCCTGGGACTGGACAAGACTGGCTCTGCTGCCGGTGTGGCCCTGGCTCCGCTGTTGGCTGGGATCGAGGCTCAGCTGCTAATGAGGCAGGAATTAGTTCATCTGCACCTGGGCTTCATGTCACTGTCAGCAGGTTCAAAACCCCAGGCATGGACAGGTCCCTGCCCAGCCACTCAGCTACCTCGGTGCCTGACCTCTCTACAAGCCCTGAAGCCCTGAGCCACATCTGTCCTGTGGGAAAGGCTTTGCTGCTAACCCACTGTGAGGTCCCAGCAGCCCTGGGCTGGAGCCAGATTTTCCCATCAGTGACAGCAGGGGCTGGGTCAATAACCCTAAGGACTCCTCCCAGAACTACAATTCCAGAGTTCTCACATTAGCTTCAAGTCCCCCACCCCTGGCCAATTCTGCTGGCATAACCCTCCCAAAGGAATGGCCACATGTCTGTCCAAGGCACTTGGGAGAGCTCCTTATCACTTATGAATTACAAAGCAAAGATCTCCACACCACACACTGCTTCCCATTTACTTGGGGGAGCAAGGCTCTCCACTGCCTCATGACCCACCCCCTGTACATCAGAACCCCAAGAGCGATGTTTTAAAAACTGATTTGCTTCAGAAAAGGGTTCGACCATCTGGATGTGCATGTGGGTTCAATCTTCCGTAAAGTCTTTTCTGGGGGCAGGGTTGCTGAGACAGGGTCTGTTATCTCAGATTTCTGATCTTCCTGCCCCTGCTTCCGGCACACCGAGATCATGCGCTGTGTGCCCCACCACGCCTGGCTTCTCTTTATGAGATTGTGGGCTCTTTGTGAAAGTCCAGTCCTGAATTTTTAGGACCTATTGTCCTACACCCTGTGCAGAGACTTGTGCCTCACCATCTTGGGTGCCGCACCCTAAACGCCCTTGCAAAGGGCCTGTGGGGCCTCAGGCCATTTCTGTGCCACTGTGGCGACTCTGGAATCCTAGCTGAGAGTGAGTGAGGCCAGCTTGCAGTATCTCAGCCCAAGCACCCAATCCTGTGGTTGGAGGACATTTGAGCCTGTCATGGTCACGTGACCACTGCTAAGCAAGGCCCCGGAAGGGAAGTGACAGGGTAGGCACAGAGTGAAGGATCACAGCAGAGCCAGCAGCTGCAGACACTGTTTCTTTTTCTTTTTTCTTTTCTTTTCTTTTTTTTTTTTTTTGCGGAACCGGGGATTGAACTCAGGCCTTTGCACTTGCCAGGCAAGCACTTATTCTACTGAGCCATCTCCTTGGCCCCACACTTTCACTTTGAAGTGCTCCAAACCACCAGTGGAGGAGGTACTGGTGATGGAGGAGGTACTGGTGACCTCCCACTGCCGGCAGCACCAGGCAGCTTCGGGGACTTGCTGGCTTCTCTTTTACCCTAGATACACATCAGGGGCTTCCCTCCAGTCCTGCTTGGGCCAACAGCTAAGACGGGAGATGCAGGCTGCTCAGACCCACACACTGCAGGGTACAGAGGGATGAGAGTACCCAGTTGCAACCCTAAAGAATGACAAGATAAGCATCCTGAGGATGCTTAAAAGCTCAGGCCTGCCTAGTTCTGGAGGGCATGTTTCTAATTGTCTCCTATACCTATTTTTTTGGTTTTTGAGACAAGAGTCTTGTTTTATAGCCCAGGCTGGCCTGGAACTAAAGGAATCTTCCTGCTTCAGCCTCCCGAATGCTGGGATCATAGCCGTGTGCAACGGTGCCCAGCTCTTATTCATATTGTGTGACTTTGGTTCCCCTGAACATTGAATTTCTCTTTACACATAGAAAATAGCAGACGAGATCAATGGCTTCTAAACTTCCCAGCCACATTACCTTTCTTTACATGAAATCGAGAACCCCCACTGCCGCCTGTTTGCTAATGAGTTCCATTCATGACCAGCCTTGCCTGACCCTTCTTCCCACCTCTCCCCTCTGGCTTCTCCACTGAGTCCCCCCTTTACATTCCTTAACGCCACTCGGGCAGAGCTAGGTCACTTCAGCTGTTAAAATTCACCCTGCTGGGCATGGCTGTCTGTAATCCCAGCTATGTGAGAGGCTGAGGCAGGAGGCTCACGAGTTTGAGGCCGTGTGGGCAGCTTGGTAAGGCTCTTAGCTATCAGCTCATACAATTTTCTCAGTTGGACACCCCCATTTTTTCCCGTAGCTTTGGCCCATGGTCTAGGGGGCGCACTATGAAAAGAATGGAGCTGGCTCTTTCCTGGAGCCTCTGCCCTCCTCCTCAACCACCTCCTAGGCCTGCACACTGTTGCTGGAGCCTGGAGGGGAGAGCCCCCTGGCTGCATGGAGTATGCTTGTCCTCCTGGCAGTCTGCTTCGGTGGCCCTTCGGGCGTCTGGCGTCTGGCGTCTGCCAGGGCTGCTTGGGAGCCTTCCTGCTCTGCGCTGTGTTGTCCCCAGCAGCGGGGCACCGAGGACAGTGCTGGCAGTGTGGCTGCCTTCCTGGGTCTCGTGCCACCTGGGGCTCCCACCCACCCAGGCCCTGCCTAGCCCTTGGCGGCTGCCCCCACCACTCCCATCTGTTGTGCTGACATTTTCTGTCACACCAGCCACAAGCACAGACCATTGTGGGCCCTGAAGAAGGAGATGCCACATCCCTGCGCGTGTTCGAGCAGCTCCTTTGGGCCCCTCATTCAGCCTGGTGGGGCCACCTGAGCCTCTGCAAGGAGGAAAAGCCTGAGTGTTTCTCCAAGGCAGGGACTGCTTGTGCCAGTGATCTTCCAGCCCTACTGCGTGGGAGAGGCGAAGTGCAGCACACTAGGCCCTCCAGGCCGGAGAGCGGCTGCAGGAAGCAGCCTGAGAATACTTTTCTACAGCTCTTGAGATCTGAGGCAGCCAGGGCTAGAAACCACTTCCCTATCCCAATGATAAATCACACTGAATGGTGGAGGAGGGAGGGGCCTGTTAGGCTGACTAAGACCCATGCGGGGCTGAGGTCTCCCTTTATAAAGTGGGGGACAGACTGGTTCCCTTAGCTGGAAGGCTTTGGTCACAATTGGAAGGTACCAGAAGAGTCTCTAGTCAATACTCTAGTACTGGCGCCCTGTGAACTTGCCTCAGCAGCAGACCCCTTCTTTCACTGAAGTCTTGCTGGGGTCCCCCAAGTCATGCAGTTGGAAAGTGGGAGAAGCACAGGCAGGGTCTGGGCCGGAGCTTTGCCTGCTTCCTCAGGACCTCCCTGGGTACAGTGACAACTCAGGTCCCTGAGCTCGCTCTGGGAACCTTGCTGCTATGTTAACTTGGAAGGGTGGATGGAGGGGCTGGAGATGGAGCTGGGCACAGGGACAGAGGGCAGGGAAGGCCTGGGGCATGCCGAGCAAGGGGAGCAGGCCCAGGTGGGGCCCTGCTAAGAAAGCCATCCCTAGGCATGAGCCCCCAGAAATGTGCGCTCCTCCCCTGTGCCCCTGAACAGGGGGAAGAAGTGCGGTCATGGACTCAGGACCTGCAGCCACCACCCCTGCCAGGGCAGCATGACGACAGGGGGCAGGACAAGTCCATCGGAGACGATGGGCCTGCCTCGGAGCCCCTCTTCAAGGCCCTGGACACGCCTCTGAGTGAAGGCGATGAGCCCACGACGCTGCCGGCCCAGCTGGACCACGGGCATGGCGTGCAGATGGAGGGCTACCTGGGCCGCAAGCATGATCTGGAGGGGCCCAACAAGAAGGCGTCCAACAGGTGTGTGCGCAGGGGCGGCTGCACCTGCAGAGCCTCAGTGACACGTGAGGGCTCTGGGGCAGTCGGAGCCAGCTGGGGGCCACTTGGCATGACAGGAAAAGCCCTATCTCTGTTCTGTCATGGGCAGAGCCACCCACACATCACTTGAGCTCCATCCCCATGTGGAGGCCAGTCACCTCTGTGCCTAGCACTGAGTGGGGCCTTTGGCACTGCTCACGGCCCAGTTACACTAGGGCTTGTCCGAGCCCACTTATGCTGATCTGCGCCTCAGTTTTCTCCACCGTAAAATGGAAGAAAAGTGAGGCTGGCCATGGCCTTGATGCCTTCTGTATAAGATTGGATTTCTGCAAATCTGTTTTTTTACAAAGTACCGAGACAGGGCTAGGGATATAGCTCAGTGGCATCAGCGCCTGCCTGGCAAGCGCAAGGTCCTGAGTTCGATCCCTGGTACCAAAACATTAAAAAATAATAATAATAATAACAACAAAGTACCGAGTCAGTGGACTGGGCATTTGTCAGTAAAACAAAAATCACAATCATCACCCAAACCAAACCCTGTTCGGTTCAGTTCACAGTTCTGTAGTGAGAATCAAATATCTACTGCCTGTAGAAGTACTTTGAAAAATTGTTTAAAGTGTTTGCCTTAAGGCTGCATCCTTTCAGGGCCAGCAAGATAGCTCAGTAGACTAAGCACTTGCTTAGGCAAGCACAGGGGCCACATGCCATGCGGGCCCCACACCCTGGGCGTGCTGAGCCAGCACGGGGTTCAGGCGTGGTGGCGCACACCTGTAATCCCAGCATTGGGGAGGCCGAAAACAGGAGGATCACTACGGGTCTGAGCTGTGTAGTGAGACCCTGTACCAATACATTTTAAAGGGGGGGCACTAGTTCAGTAGAATAAGTGCTTGCCTGGCAAGCACAGGGTCCTGAGTTCAATCCCTGGTACCACAAAAAACAATAAAAAAAAAATAATAATAAATAAATAAATAAATGACTGCCATTCTTTTCCTAGAAATGTATATAAAGGTAAGAACAGAATTATAGCCAAAGATTTATAAATAAAAATATTCATCACATTGCTATTTAAATTATGTATAAATTTTCCAGTGTTATAAGGTCCCCCAATAAAAGTATTGTGTGCCTGTGTGATAGGAAATCATTTTAAATTAATTTTTTTAAATTTTTTAAAATTTATTTGTGTGTGTGTGTGTGTGTGTGTGTGTGGCCAGCTCAGCCCACCAGGGGGCGGGGCTGGCTGGCATGTGGTGCTGGGGGGTTGAACCGCGGTCCCTGTGCTTTAGCTGAGTTGTTCTAAGTAGGTGCTTTAGACCACTGAGCCATCTCACCAGCCCATTTTAAATTAATTTTAAGAAATACTTGAGGAGATGGGATGATTTAAATATATAAGCCAGATGTGGTAACAAATGCCTATAATCCCAGCACTCGGGAGGCTGAGGCAGGAAAATCCCCTCTAGGAGGCCAGCCTGGGCTACAAAGTGAGCTTGAGGCCAGTCTGAGGTACACAGCGAAACCCTGTCTCCAAAAACCAAAACCAAATGAAGTGAAACATTCTCCTTTGTTTCCAACACACCAATCTCATCATTCTGTCACTTTTTGAAGTGGCTCTGGAGTCCTCTTTCATGAGTGTCTTCATGAGGTGTGATAAAAAATACAGTGATAAAGCGCCTCAGAGCAGGCACAGGGTCCAGGGGTTCAATTCCCAGGCCTGCTGTGCTGGCCCCACCCCGGAGCCATGCTGAGACAGCAATTGAGACTGGGCTTGGTGGTGCGCAACTGTAATCCCAGCTCCTGGAAGGCTGTAAACAGGTGGATCACTACGAGCGCGATCTAGTGGCGAGACCCTGAACACTATGTAGACCCTTCCCTAAAATACAAAAAAAAAAAAAAAAAATACAGTGAATACTGGGGCCAAGTGCCATCCAATGGGAATGCAGGCTTAGAATGCCCTCACCCAGCTCATTCCTCAGGTCCTGCACCACGTGACTCCTTCCCACAACTGACCCGGAAAGCTAGCTGTTTTTGTTTTGTTTTGTTTGCGGAACCACCATTGAACTCAGACCCTTGCACTTGCCAGGAAAATGCTTATTCTACTGAGCCATCTCCCCGGCCCAAGCTAGCCATTTTGAATGGATCCAGGACCTTGAGGCTGCCACCATAACATAGCTAGAGACATGAAAGGCTCTTATATAAATAAGCACTCATAGCGCCGGGGAGATGGCTCAGTGGAATAAGTGCTTCCCTAGCAAGTGCAAGGGTCTGAGTTCAATCCCTGGTTCCACAGAATAAAATAAAATAAAATAAAAAATAAATAAGCAGTCATAGTGTGAAGCTTGAAAGCAGTCTGCGCTGCGTCCCAGTGTGGCCCCACCGGCTTTGGTTCCACTCCGAAAGCTAAGGCAGGATGATCACAAATTCAAAGCCAGCCTGGACACCTTGGCAACCTACACTCTATTGTAATTTTTATTAATTAATTAATTAATTTTTTAAAAATTTATTTATTTATTTTTGGCAGAACTGGGGATTGAACTCAGACCCTTGCACTTGCCAGGGAAGCACTTATTTTACTGAACCATCTCCCTGGACCAATTTTTTAAAAAATTTTTTAAATTTTTAAAAAAATCTTTTATTTATGTATTTGGTAAAAGTCTCACTACGCAGCTCAGACTCATAGTGATCCTGCTGTCTCAGTCTCCCCGCATGCTGGGATTACCAGTGTGTACCACCACACCCAGTTTCGGTGGTAGGCATAGCTTGGGGCCAACTCAGCATGCAGTACTGGGGATCGAACCGAGGTCCCTATACTTGCTGGCCCGCATTTTAGCTTTTTTTTTTTTTTTTAGAACCGGGGATTGAACTCAGGCCCCTGCACTTGCCAGGGAAGTGTTTATCCCACTGAGCCATCTCCTCAGCCTATCTTAAATTTTAAAAAAGTAAAAATAAAATATAGCTCCATGATAAGAGCATGCCTGGATTTAATCCCCAGGACAGTCGCAAAAAGAAAAGAAGAAAAAACAAAGATATAAAATACAGAACTGGAGGTGTAGCTCAATAGTAGAACACGGGCTATGCATGCCCAAGCAACATACACACACACACACACACACACGCACACACCCACACACACAAAACATGCAGTGTAACCTGATATTACCTATGTGCAGAGGGAAAAAAAAAAAAAAGGAAAATAACGTGCAGATTGTTTTTGTATCCACCCCCTCCCTCTGCTTTCCGATATTGGGATTCAACCCAGAGCTTTTTCATTTTTTATGTTGAGGATTTTCTTTTCTTTTTAACTTTTCTTTTTTGGTTGCTCAGGCTGCCTTAAGGGTGGGTCTGGTGAGATTGTAGAGCTGGGGATTGAACTGTGGTCCCCTGCACCTGACTGACTCTGCCCAAGCAGGCACTTTAAACAACTGAGCTAACCTGCGAGCCCCCCACTTTTTATGTTGAGACAGGATCTTGCTAAGGCATTAAGTAGCCCAAACAGGGCTTAAAACTTGCGATGCTTCTACCTCAGCCTCCCAGAGCTCTAGGATTACAGGTGCAAAGTGCCCATGTCTGGCTTTAAACAACAACAGTATCTCATTCTTTATGAGGGCAAAAATGAAACAATAAAAAAAAAAAAAAAAAACAGTCTCAAAGCCATAGGATCTGATTGTGAAGCATGATCTGGTCTGAGTGGCCTGCTGTCCCTGTCTCACAGGTCGTGGAACAACCTCTACTGCGTGCTCAGGAACAGCGAGCTGACCTTCTACAAGGATGCCAAGAACCTGGCTCTAGGGGTGCCCTACCACGGAGAGGAACCCCTGGCCCTGAGGCATGCCATCTGCGAGGTGGCAGCCAACTACAAGAAGAAGAAGCACGTCTTCAAACTGAGGTGGGCCTCCTGGCCGGGGCCTTCCAGCCGCAGGCACAGTGGCCAGGCAGAGGCCCAGGTTCCAAATCTGCAGGCTCTGGCCTCCCTGAAAGAGCTGTGCGGCTCACGCAGCCAAGGGATAGATAGGCTCGGGGGTGGCTGGATCTCAGCTTGCCTCTGCCAGGAAAGGTCAGAGTGCAAGCCCGTGACGGGAAGCCCTTTGTCCTCCTAGGCTCAGCAACGGCAGCGAGTGGCTGTTCCACGGCAGGGACGAGGTGAGTGCCCGGGATCCAGCCCTAGGAGGGGCAGCTGCGGACTCCTCCGCGGCCGGGCGGTCCTGACTCTGCGCCCCACAGGAGGAGATGCTGTCCTGGCTGCAGGGCGTGAGCACGGCTATCAGCGAGTCCCAGAGCATCCGCGTCAAGACCCAGAGTCTGCCCCTGCCCTCCCTCACGGCCCCCGACGTCAGCCTCGGCAAGAAGGACAAAGAGAAGAGATTCAGCTTCTTCCCCAAGAAGAAGTAGCCGTGGGCGGCCCCGCAGGTGGGGACGCGCAGGGACCCGGCCCGTCCTCCCCGCCTGCGCCTGTCCTGCTCCGCCCGCCCACGGGCTGCTGCACTAAGCCGCCGCCGGCCAGCACACCGGCCAGCACGCCCGCCTCGCCCAGCCGGGGTCTCCCTGCCCCCCAAAGCTGGAGCAGGCCACCGGGCTCCTCGAGCTGCCCACTCCCCAGCAAGCCTTGCTTGGGGTTATGCCCAACCAGTCATGGCCAGAGAAAGAAGAAGGGAAGAGGGACTTGGGGCAACCGACCTGTCTCGGAGGGACAGACAGGGTGCTGCTAGGGACTGAGGGAACAAGGAGAGATGCAGGCCTCCCTACTGAGCCTCTCAGAGCGTACTTGCTCCAGGGCCTGTGTGCCCCTAACTCCCCGTGGGGCAGAGCCCCTGCCCCCATTTAGAGTGTCCAGAGGGAAGAGCCTCCTGCTGCCCCAGCACCGTGGATGGAGGAAGAACCAGCAGCTCGCAAACCATTCCTCCAGAAGCCCCAGTTAAGAGTTTGGGCTCAGGGCTCAGAAGGAGAGGAGGGGCCAGACAGGTCCCAACACTGCCGAAGGCTCTGCCTCCGGCCACACCCAGTAGCAGCCAAACCAGCAAAGGCCAGCAGAGGCAGGGCCCCCAGGGAGCAGTGTAGGCCCTGATACAAGTTGGGTACCCCAGCGCAGGATTAAAGCCTCCCAGAGCAAATGCCTGCTGTGCCCTGCCTGTCTGCAGCTGCTAACCCAGGGGTACTGACTGGGCAGAGAGCAGAATTACCACCTGGTGTGGCACCCATGGCCATACCTGGGTATTGCCACCATCATGCATCTATCGTGACAGCAGTAGATGCTGGGGCCGGAGCCCTTCTTGATCAGGACCTTGTCCTGCAGGCCTGGCCTAGGCTTCTGGGGATCACATGCAGAGATCACCAGACATCTAACCCCTGTATCCAGGCACCAGAAGGGATGCTTCAGTCTGTCCCCAGGGAGAGATGTCCTCATGCTTTTGGAAGGGGGACCATCCAGACCCCTTAGTACTGACCTGGGCTCTACACAGACGTCCCCTGTCACTGTACTCTGAAGGCAGTGTAGCTTTCTCTAGCAGCCACAGCCAAGAAGGGCCACATGGGGGGCAGCTGGTGTGTTCTCCAAGTGAGGCCACAAGCGTTCCCCAAGGCCCGCGGCCAGTTTCTGTGGCCTCCTCAGGAGAAGGTACCTGGGCTGGGGGGATGAATTTGGTGAAGCTAAAGGACAAGCCACAGGGGGAGGCACCATTATGAGGCCTCTCAAGAGCCCTGACTACTAGCCTGGCATGCAGCCCTGACGCTGCCAGTGACCCCAGCTCCAGCGGACAGGAAGCACACAAAGGAAGATCCCACAGCGGTGTTTCACCTGCATAGCCAAGGTCTTTATCTGGCCTCGACTATAGGACCTGTGGCCCTGGGCTTCTACAGGGAACCTAGCTGGTAGCATTCACCAGCCCCTGTCCAGCCAGGGAAACCAGAGCAAGAGGCAGGGGGGTGACGGCACACCCCCGTGCTTTGGGGAGCATGTCCATGCCTCAGGCAGGAGACCGTTCCCCTGGCCAATCTTAGGGAGCCAAGGCACAAGGGCCTCCCACCCCTCCAAGTGTGCCCAGGCAGCACCTCAGGTGAGGCATTTCCAGCAGGTGACGCCACGGAGCTCCAATGAATTGGAGCTCAATTGGAGACTGAGCTTCAGTGAAGAGCTAGGAATTCACCACCCCAAGTCCCCAGATTGGGCAAGGGCAACCAGCTGCATGTGACCCATCACCTCCCGCCAGCTACCCACGCGTCCTGCCCACGTCACCCAGGCCCCAGGACACTCGACCAACTGGACTGACACTGCAGGCGCCCATCCCCAGGAGACCCTGTGCCACTGTAGGGCCAGGCTTTCCTGGTGCCCAGCAAGGCACCTCTTCCCTCCTTCCTTCTGTCCTCCCTCCCCCACCCATTACATTTTCTACTCCATTCTTTTCCTTACAGTATTCCTAACTAGGTTGGCACAGCTCCAGTCACACCAGCAAAACGGGCTTCCTCCCTGAGCAGGCTAGAGGAAGCTCCTCCGGGCATGGTCAGGCGGTCCTCCATCCCTCTCTCCTTCCCTTCAGCTCTGGCCTCAGCTGACTCTGGCTGAGGGCAGAACTGGAGGCACCTGGGGCTCTCTGCCCCACCTACCTCCAGCTCGTGTACCCTACGGGAGGCCTGTGTCGGGCTCGGCTTCCCTCTACCCCACTCCTGTCTGTCTATGGAAGCACAGCCAGGTCCCCTAGGCTGGTTCTGGGTCCCCTTCCTCCACGGGAGGAGGCAGGAATCCAGAGGATGAGGCCAGCAAGCCATGTGGCTTGGTCCCTTGGTCAAGCAAGCTCAGGGAGGATGCGAAAGAGGAGGTGACCACAGAGGAATGCACCCCTGTCGGACAGACCATGTCATCTGGAGCTGGCCCTGAGGTCGGCTGGGCTTGTCCTCCACCTGCTCAAACGTGCTTCCACCAACCAGAGGACACTCATTTACTAGTTTTTCTAATAAATCAATAATGCTCTATGTAGGTCTGTTTCTTTCTTTTTTTCTTTCTTTCTTTTTTTTTTTTTTTTTTTTTTTTGCGGAACTGGGGATTGAATTCAGGCCCTTGCGCTTGCTTGGCGCTTATTCTACTGAGTTATCTCCCCGGCCCCTTAGGTCTGATTCTTATTTGAACAGTGTTTCTCTCTGAACAGGGCCTCAAGGTCTGACACCAGGAGACTGACAGCCAGACTCTGGCTTGTTTCCAGGAGTCTTAGGACTTTGTGGCTACACAAGCCTGAGTCCTGCCCAAGGCCCAAACTCCATCCTCTGTGCCAGTCAAGCTGAGGGCCTGCTGCTAGGCAAAATCACTGCCAAAGATCAGGCCAGGCCTTTGCCCTGGGAGCTCCGGACAGAGATAGCAGCCCTCATGGTCTTCTGACCCATCTGCAGAAGCGCAGTTTTCATGTGACCTGGATGTGTCGCAGGCACTGCCTAGCTTCAAGGGGCTCCCAGGGGATCTGAAGGGGTAGCCAGTGATGATGGCTGCCCTGTGCCAGTCTTCAGACACACTGGGTGGGGGGTGGGGAGGTGACAGGGGAGAGGGTTGGTCCCCAGAAGAATTGGGGGGGTGAAAGCAGTCACTTGTCTATAGATGAAGAAAGGGCATGGCATGGGTGGAGTACCTCAGCTGACTAGTTGCAAGGCTAGGACAAGAATCTGGGCCACCTGCCTAATGTGCTTGTGGTACCCAGCACCATGTCCCAAGATGTGATGGTAGGAGCCAGGTGTTCCCAGTGCCTGTGAGCACAGAAGATGCAGGGCAAAGCTGAGCAAGATGGCACCTGCCTGTCATTGTACCCTGAGACAGGAGGGTCCTGAGTTTTAGACCAGCCTGAGCTATGTATTGAGTTCAAAGCCAGTCTAGACAACAGTGAAATCTTTTCTCAAAAAAAAAAAAAAAAAGCTAGTAGCACACAGGCCAGCTCTGCCACACTGCTCCTTCCTTCTTGGTACTGGGACTCAAACTCAGGACCTTGCACTTGCCAGGCAGGCACTTGTGCTGCTGAGCTATATCCCTAGCCCTACCACACTGCTTCTGCACAAGGGACTGCCACTCACCTGCAATCCTTCCTGACTTCCGAGGCTCAGCGGATATTTCAGGCTGAGTCTGTCCTCCTAGGAAGGAGACGCCACAGAGCCCCTGACCTGCGGAGCTGCAGGGAAACTTATCAGACCACCCTACCACCAGGGCCTGCCACCTGAACCAGCTACTACAAGGCTGGTCTGCCACAGAGAAAGCCCAGTCAGAAACAAAGAAGCATTCCTGGCCCTCTTGAATCACAGATTTTTCTCCCCTGTTAGAACTGAAGATTAAATTCCAGGAGTGCTGGAACAGGTAATCAAAAATATACAATTAAATGTTTAATTTAAAAAAAAAATATTACAGGGCTGGCCAGATAGCTCAGTGGGCTAAAGTGCCTGCTTAGGCAGAGTACGGTGGCTGGGTTCAATCCCTGGTGTGCTGTGCTGGCCCCACCCCTGGGGTGGGTTGAGACTGTGATTGAGACAAGGTGTGGTGGCACCTGCCTGTAATCCCAGCTCTTAGGAGGCTGAACACAGGCGAATCACTACGTGATTCACTACGTAATCATTGTGTCCGATCTATGCAGTGAGACCCTATTGTAGATCCTGTACTAAATAAAAAAATAATAAAAATTATTGCAATACTGCTTAGACAGGGGCAGCTCAGATAGCTCAGCAGACTATAAAGCACCTGCTTTGGTAGCATTCACGGGCCGGAGTTCTATCTCCGGCCTGCTGTGCCGGCCCCACTGGTGGAGCACGCCGAGATGGCGATTGATTCTGGGCATGGCGGCATGGATCTGTAATCCCAGCTCTTGGGAGACTGAAAACAGGAGAATCACTGTGAGTCCAATCTACATAGTGAGACCCTGTACACACTGTAGATCCTGTCCTAAATTCATTAAAAAAAAAAAAAATACTGCTTAGGCAGAGTGCAGGGGCCAGGGTTCAATCCGCACCATGCTGTGCCTGCCCTGCCCCTACTCCCAGGGCACACTGAGACAAAATTGAAACTGGGCATGGTGGCCCACGCCTGTAACCCCCGTGATTGAGGGGGCTGAAAACAGGAGGATCACCACTAAGTCCAATCTACATAGTGAGATCCTGTAGACCCTGCACCAAATACATTTTTAAAAATTACCATAAAAGATGTGTTACTATTAATCCCTTTCAAAATACTGTCCCTTGCTTCAAACATGTGTACTTTTCCCATCATTCTTGTCACCTTTTTTTTTTTTTTTTGGTTTTTGCTTATTTTGGTCTTTTGGTCTCGCTATGCAGTTCAAGCTGGCGTTGATCTCAAACTCCTCACAATCCTGCCTCAGCCTCCCAAGTGCCGGGATTAGAGGGACGGGCCACTATACCTGGCCTCTTCCCACTTCAAGTCCTCTTTCATGAATGTCTTTAAAGCCATGATCAAAACTATAATGAGAGGGCTGGTGAGATGGCTCAGTGGTCTAAAGCACCTACTTAGAGCAAACTAAGCCAAGCAAAGCACAGGGACCGCAGTTCAATCCCCCAGC